TCGAATTCGCAAACCACTTTTATATGGACTGATATTTTCTAATCAGACTAATCACTTGCGTGGTATGGTCACCGCATGAGCACGTATTGAAACGTGAAACCGCTGACCATCAAGGTTCTGCTGATTGGAAAGCATGAGGCTCTTTATGTCTTGTAAATCAGTTGTGTCAAAGAGGACAACCCAATTACAAACTCAAGTGGACGATTTGGATTCAGGTTAAGGTTAAGTCACCGCCTGCACTAAATCGCCTGGAGAATGAATTATAAAATTCGTTCTTCTTTGCGCTGCACATGTGAACATAAGGTAATGACTGCTGTGCAAGACAACGAAGAATTTGGACGACGCTGGATAAGTCGTCACGAAATGAAATGAAACCGGCATCCTTATCACATCTGCATGATCAAAATATGGAAAACGTAATCGAATAATAATGTCCCAACTTTTATGATCTCTTGCCATTCCACTGGCACAGGATGACATTTTTCGTACATGTAAAAATGTAAGAACACAATGTTACACTATCAAAGGTCTATTTTACACAGATGTGGGAAAATTATTATTAAAGGCGTCAGTTTACCGATTTTACCTATTGTCGATTCGAACGCTTCTTTGCGCATGAAGCAAACACGCTGTTGCTCAAGCGCTCCACAGACCCTTCCTCCACTTTTAGAAGAGTGCATTACCACTTTCGCTCGATAGGTAAAACAGAAGAAAGCAGCCTCAATTACAAGAACAATAAGCATATGAATAACAAAAAGGGTAATTGGAAGAATAGTAAATTCGTTTGGCCGGCAGTAACTCCCATCAGCCCGAGATCGGAAGCAGCTCGTCCACAGACCAGAATGGCACTGTTTATGGAAGAAGTATGCCGAACAGTATGAATTGCGAAACGTCTTAGGTGAGAGCAATACTTTCCGGTTTGCATTCCGCCTTTGACACAGTTTAGCGCAACCAACTGCTGAACTCGCTGGCGGCGCAGAGATCTATTTACATTTAGACGACGTTTTCCAGTTTTCCACGTGTTTCCTGCAGCCTACCGTAGCAAGTAAATCGTCAGCAAGCTTGGACAATAACCTCTGTGTTCTTCAGGCCTTTAGGCTCCCTCAACCGCTATGCCAATCAGTGCTATACAGAACTGGTAACAAAAATGAAATGCTTTAACGAATTGGATCTCACCCTATATATCAGCAAGCGCTACGTCAGCTTCTAATGTCGCCCTCGTCCTGGATCCTTTTAAATCGGTGCTGTACCTATTTGTGATTTGTCTGTTGCGCACCTACCCACAGCTACACGATATGGATATTATTATGAAAGATGAGGTCCAGTACTCCAATATCGAATAGAGAGCCACAACAATACTAATTCGCTGAACCAAGAGTTCTACTTCAAATTCCAAGAGCACTCGAGTGGCAATGCCAGCTGTATTATGCCGCTCGCCCCGTATAATTCAGGTCAAGAAAGTTAACTGATTACAGTTTAACAAGTCGGACTGCCTTCAAACCGGAGTTTCCTATCACAATCATAACACAGTAGAATATCCGTAGACAAATCTAACCTGATAACGGGCGTTAGTGCGGCATCCCTTTGCTGCTGGATGGGCGATACCGCGCTGAAGAAACGGAATTTCCAGCGAACTTGTTCATGCCATGGCAAAGTATAAAAAAGTTTTAGCATAGGAAGAGATAAGCGCTGAAAGTGTGGACTTTCGAATAGCATAAGAAGCATGGGCGCCTTGGCATCAGCAGCATCTCTAACATAAGCTTTCAGTTCAATAGACAGAGTCAACAAGTTTGAGATACCGGCAGTCAGCTGGTAGGCTGTTCGACGTTTAGCGAAAAATTTTTTATAGAGTCGCAAGTGCACCGAGACT